AAACCCGAGGTTCGGACCAAAATCTATTTACCCATTCACCCCCGAGCCCGATTATATAATTAGTTTCGAAATCCGACCTCAATTTGAGGTCTAAATCCCTAATTTGCAAAAAAAACACAAATTCTTCTTAAATCCCCAGTTTCTACGGTGGAAGAACAAAGATTAGGGCTAGAAATTAATGGGTGATGTTAAAAATGAAAGAAAATGAGTTAAAGTGTACAAACCTATGCATTGATGTTGAGTTTTCACTTCAAAATCGCCTCTAGGCCGAGCTCTAATGGAGAGTTTATGAAAAAAATGGAAGAATCCCGTTTTTGGTCTATTTTTAATCACTGGATGTCAGGCCTTCTTCGCGTTCACAAAGGGCCTGACGCATTCGCGAAGCAGCGGCTCAAATAGCCTACGTGTTCGCGAGATACCCTTCGCGTTCGCGAAGGCTTACACCCACCAGCCTACGCATTCACGAGCCTTGTGTCGTGATCGCGAAGAGAATAGGTTAGTTCCCCTCCTCCATATCCACAAAGCTACCCATTCACAGTACACTGTCCGCGTTCACGAAGGACATCCTCCCTCCACTTTGTGTTCGCGTACAATCATTCGCGTTCGCATAAAGTAAAATCCTCCCCTGCCCAGTTCCCCTTCGCGGTCGCGGTAATGGCTTCGCGATTGCGAAGTACATTATATCTGAAACCAGTAAAAGTCCTAAAAACCAGATTTTTCTAAGTATAAATCATCCGTAACCTATCTGAAACTCACCTGAGCCCTCGGGGCTCCAAACCAAATATGGACACAAGTTCAAAAACCTCATACGAACTCGCTTACGAGATCAAAACACCAAAATAATGCCTAGAACTATGAATCAGACACCAAATCAAATGAAATTTTCAAGAAAACTATAGAACTTCTATTATAACAACTGGACGTTAGAATCATGTCAAACTAACTCCGTTTTTTACCAAATTTGACAGACAAATCATAAATATAGTAATGGACCTATAAACTTTCAAGCATTGGTAAAATCTTTGAATTCATTAAACCTTTAAACTTTCAATTTTCGACAAAAACGATAACTCGAGCTAGGGACCTCCGAATTCGATTTCGGGCATACGCCTAGGTCCCAAATCACGATACGAACCCACCGGGACCGTCAAAATATGGATCCGGATCCGTTTGCTTAAAATATTGATCGAAATCAACTCAAATAGATTTTTAAGGCAAAATTTCATATTTTATCAACTTTTAACATAAAAGCTTTCCGAAAAAATACCCAAATTGCGCATGCAAATCGAGGAAGGTTTAAAGAATCTATTAGAGGCTTCGAAACATAGAATTAGGGTTTAAAACTATAGATGACCTATCGGGTCATCACATATACATATATCTATCTTATATACTCGGGCCACCACACCTTTAATGAGAACTTGGGGAAGAAATGCGAATTATGTGGGTTTTTTTTAGGGAGGTGGTGGTGGTGGAAGAAGAAGAAGAAGAAGAAGAAGAAGAAGAAGAAGAAGAAGAAGAAGAAGAAGAAGAAGAAATAAAGAGGGGTAAAATGGAAATAGAGAGGGGTAAAATGGAATAGGTGCAGTGAGGTGGCATGTCATGTGGCATCCACCTCAGTGATATGGCAGGCCACATGGGATAATGTTTCCATGGTGGAGGATTCTAACGGTAGAGGGGTATTTTTACACCAATTCTATGACGTCGGGGACTTTAGTGGACTAATAGTATGACAGAGGATCTAAATTAACATTTTCGAATAGTAGAGGGATATTTCTAACCCTTTTCCGTTTAATATAATATAGATTATTTTTGAAGATAGAGACGAAAAAAGTAGGTAAATATTCAATAAAGAGAGATCATGTCTTAAGACATAAATAACGGTAAAATATTCAAAATTCCCTCCTAATTAAGGTTTTCTTAATGAACGTATAAAAGAGAAACATGACAGATAATTTGAAACGAAGGGAGTACATTTTTTTCGGAATGAACTGCTCCTTCCATCCCAATTTGTATGTTAGACTTTTTTAGTTCGTTTATTCCAAAGAAAAAATTGTCTTTTTTAGAACCAACTAATTTTAAACTTTTTGTCTTATCCTTGATGAGATAATTTATAGCAATACAAATATATAAAAACTAATTTAGACCATAAGTTTTAAAAGTTTTTCTTTTTAAAACTTCGTATCCAGCCAGACATTACTACATAAATTAAGACGAAGGTAGTAATATAGATATAATACCACATAAAATAAAATGGAAGGAACACTAGTTAAGTCACTTTAATTTACGACAACAACAATAAATCTAGTGTAATCCTACAAGTGAGGTCTGATGTGGTAGTGTATACATAGATCTTACTCGTACCTTGCGAAGATCAAGAGGTTGTTTCCAATAGTTATGTTTAATCTGATAATTAAGTCCCTTTAATTTAGATATTCGATTTCATTTTACAGTACTAAAGGTTAGATCAATCAAACAAAGACTTAACGAAATGTTATCAAAAGTATTAAAAAAGTTAGAGATGCTAAAAGGTATATAAACATAAAAGATTTGCAATACAAAGAGAACAAATAATTTATCAATTAGATTTCCATCAAATTAAATAAGCATAAATTGAGATACTTAACTATTTCACTAAGGATTTTTAACATTAAATTGAGATTTACAACGCACTGGCCATCATCATACATCACATTTTGAGTCTTTCCTTTGAGGCATCGTTAGGCGAAAAGAGCGGCTAATTTTATCTTGAGTTAGAACATCAATTCCTTTCACTTTCAGTGAAGGGGAATCTTCAAATGAAGATTCACCTAAACTAGAGCATACAGAGAAAATAAGGAAGAAGATGACTATAATCATTGCTTTGGTAATCTTCATACTTAATATTGCTAATTAGTTAAGATTTAGTGGTTGTATGAAACTTGTTACTGTGAAACAAATTATATATAGAGAGCTTGAGATTATTGTTATCTAATCCTATACTTAGGGCTGCCAAATTTGGCCCAAGCCCACATGACCTGCCCAAAGCTGGGCTGATTATTTGCCTGCCCATTTATTGAATTCAAACTATCTTGACCCACCCATCTCAACCCAATTTAAGTTTGGTTGGTTTTTAGCCCAAATTGATCCATGAGTAACTTTGCCAAAAATATCTTAGAAAGAATTTTTTTATTTGATATGTTATATATAACCATAACAAAAGAAAAAAAGTCTTATTTAGTAAATATACAATTCATAAGAAAATAATGGGGCATTTGCATCTATACCAGCTTTTTGGGTCACATTTTAACTTGTGCCCGCTTTGCAAAAAAATTGCAAGCGTACCCACTTTTTCTCATAACTTCAGCATACGTGGCCGAAGTAGCAAAGGCAATCACGCAAAACTTCAGCATTCTAGTAGATGTGCCTGAAGTAGCAAGTGTGCTGAACCAAGTGTGCTAAAGTTTTTGTTTGTAATTGCTGAACTTAAGCATAGTAGCTGAAGTTTTGTTCTCTATTTGCTGAAATTTTTGTTTGTAATTGTTGAACTTAAGCATAGTAGCTGAAGTTTTGTTCTCTATTTGCTGAAGCTTTTGTTTGTAAATGCACTAAATAAGCTGAAGTTTTTTTGTCCTGGATTCATTAGTTTTGTCATTAAGCTTTTTCAAAAACTTCAGTAGAAGATGCTGAAGTTATTTAGTTTATTTATAAAAACTTCAGCACTAAATAAGCTGAAGTTTTTTGTCCTGGATAAGCTTTTTCAAAAACTTCAGCAGAAGATGCTGAAGTTATTTAGTTCATTTGTAAAAACTTCATCACTAAAAGCTGAAGTTTTTTTGTCCTGGATTCATTAGTTTTGTCATAAAGCTTTTTCAAAAACTTCAGCAGAAGATGCTGAAGTTATTTAGTTCATTTGTAAAAACTTCAGCACTATATAAGCTGAAGTTTTTGAAAAAACTTTCTAACATACTAGATAAATAATCAGGTTGCCAACAGTATCTAAATCATAAATTTTGAAAACAATAAAGGTGAAAAGAACAGAATTATCATTGTCTACTAACTTACGTACGTGGAAATATTCACAAATTATTGTCTACTAACTTACGTAATTATTTATAATTTATTTTTAAATAATCTGATAAACATAATTATGGCAATCATCCTATGGACTGAAGTTGCATAGCAGCACCAACAACAGCAGAAGAAAGAAGAAGGAGGAGAATGAGGAGGAGAAAGGGGGTTGAAGTTGTTTAAAAGTGGGTACAAGTTAAAAAATTTTAAAAAAATGGGTATAAGTTAAATGGGGGCAATCAAATAAGGCGCCCCTGTGCAATTTTTACGAAAATAATGCATATTAATTAAAGTTTGGTAAGAATTGGGCTGGTTGGGCTACACATAAATTTTAACGCATCTTGACCCGACCCATTTATTTGCTTAATCAATTTTGATCCGCCTAAAATCAGTCTATCCCGCCCATTTGACACCCTTTCGTGTACTTAATACTAGTGCTAGTTGAAATAGATTACATAGAATTTTTAATTATATTGTAATTCATTTTATTATTTAAATTTTAATAAAAACACTCATAAAAAGTATCCTTAGAATTTGTGATATTTATATTATAAATGTATATTACCCTGAATAAAATGAGAAGTTTATAGTTAAAGATATTTTCAATATCTATCTCATTCTTTTTGAACGAAAAAAAAACCCATATAAAATGAAGCGTAGGGTGTATCATGTGGTTAGTTATTTAAGTTATATACCTACATAATTTTTAAATTATGCATTGTATACTAGTCTATAATATATCAAACTAAATATTATGCACAATTTGTAATACATCAAACTATATATTATATAAAATTTGTAATATATCAAACAATATATTAAATAATTCTTGCATACCAATTTATGCATTATTCATTACTAATTGATTACTATTTCATTCAGTATATTTTTCTTTTTCTCCTTTTGCTAGAAAATTACTGTTTTGTGGAATAAAATTGGAAAAATAGCTAAAAGAACGAGGGGGAAAATTTTTGGTCTAATAGCAAGCAAATAACACCTAAATCATCAAGCGGGTCGGGTGCTGCTCAATAGAGAAGAGAACATCGAAGCAGAAAAGCTTCAGTTCCATACATTTTTCCTGGTAATGTTTTAATTTTTCGTTTAATTTACTCTCCTAAGATTCTAGGTTTTGCTTTTTGTAACTTCACTAGGTTGTATGACTCTTTGATTTGTCATTTGAATTCTTAGATAAAATAAAGGTTTTTAGGTTTTAATTCTTTTAAATTTTCAGTTTGATACTACATTAACTTTTGAATATCCATGAGGTTTGAAATGAACAAATAAAAATTTGTTCTTGTTTTAAGAGTAACTATAATATAATTTGATGTTGTTGGAAGGTTCAGTATTTTGGGGACATTTTAACCTTCCAGTAACTTTTGCATAGATTGTATTTGTGTTCGGAAATCCACTAAATAAAATATGTAATTGCGTGCCCATAGTAACTAAGACGAGCTATGGGTTCGATGACAAGTTTAGTACCCATAAACTTCAAATCATGGTTTCGCCTTTGACTTGTGAAAGTTATCTTTCAGGCTATGTTCTGTGCTGACTCTCCAAAATGCTGCCGTACCTGGGTCGGATCCTTTAAAAATGCACTGCTTTTGGAGGATCCGACACGCACTTGCAATATTTTCGGAGAGCCCAAGCAACATAGCTTTCAGGGTATTGTCTCTACATCATAAATCAAGCCAAAAGAGTAATCTACTCCCCTTTTTGATAAGGAATTCAAAATTCAATTTAAAGTTTCATAGTCCCTGCCCACAACTTGTACTGTATGCTGAAGATATCTCTTTTGTTAACCAACCAACTTTATGCTGCTGTATTTTGTAGAATGAAGGAGACTAGAAAAAAGGTATTCTCAAATGTGCAACACTGATAAAATTGATCCATGCAACCCATAACATCCTTTTTCTTTTACTTCCCAAAAGCTATAAAAGAAAGGCCATTCGGTCAAGGGGCGTTATCTCCAGAACAATTCTTTATTGTGTTCTCCACCTCTTTCTCATCAAAAGGCCTTTTCATTATTGCATTCCTTCTCCGAGCATAATTATCATTTGAGGTCTATTATCAATAACATACCCAGTATATTCTCACATGTGAGGTTTGGGGAGGTTAGTGTGTACCTTGTGCAGGTAGAAAGGCTGTTTCCAAGAGACCTTTGACTCAGGCAAGCACAGTCACAACAGTAAGGCAAATCAACATATAAAGACAGTAGAGAGTCATAGGAAAAGAAATAGTAGCAACAGCTAAATAGTAACTAACTGAAGCATAAGCAATGCCAGATAATACTAGAAATCCAAGAAAAAGACAAAACAAGAGTAATACTACAGCTACTGTAATGGAAGGAAAGTACGCTCTACTACTACTAATCGTCTACCCTAATCATCAATCTCCACAACCTCCTATCAAGGGTCGTATTCTCAGTCAGCTAAAAATGCGCCATGTCCTGCCTAATCACCTCTCGCCTATTCTTTTTTGGCCTCTCACACCTATTTGAGGTTTATTATTTGTAAATGAAAAGATTGTGATGCCATTCTCAACCAATAGCAAGGTCAATTGCACTTCGTTCATGTGCCGTTTTTTCTGAAAATATGCTGATTACTGCGAATTGCTTCACTTTCTTAAGTGGATACAGAATTTTTTGAGCTCTTCTTCTCTGTTCTGTTTTCTTTGTATTGTCTTTTAAGCTACTAAACTCATGAATGAACGCATTTCCAAAGGTCTTTCTCTTGACTTCAACCAGTAGTCAGGTGAAGTTTTGTCAATATCGTGAAAGTTAGTTTCACCCACCAATTTAGAGATCCGCAGGTCCTTTCTAGATCTTGCCCACATTTCATTCCAGTACTATTACAGATCTGCAGCAGTGGAACCTAAATTGAGGGTTTTCAATCATGATGAGAATGATCTAATTAACTTGGTTGAAAGAGGTTTCCCTTGGATGAAAAACGCTTCAATAGTATAAATTTGCTTGTTGAACACATCAGTAGTAAGCGCATCATATAAGATGTATGAAGCAACTAAAATTTATTAATCAGGCGTCATAATGAATAGTTCAAGCTTTTTCTTGTACTATTTAAAATTTAGCTTGAAGGCTAATGGAATTTCGGGAATGTTATGCTATTTGCTCTGTATTAATTGCCTGTACTTCTGTGAAAATAGATGGGAGTATTCAATATGGCTATATAACCTGTAATTGTCTCAGTGTAAGGTAGTGAGTTCTCAAAGCATACAGTATAAGAGATGTAAAGAGCCAAAATTTCGGGTGAGTCATTGAAAAACTCTTGCCACAGTTCTTCCTCGATACCAAATATCCCATGGGAATATATTCTGCAGCAGCCCATTCTCTGTGACCATTCATGCCATTCAGCCCAAGGTCGCCCAGACCACCAATGATGTCCTGTCAAATGAGTAGCATCCCATCAAATTATCATGAACTTGGCATAACTTGACCATTCAGTGAGGACAATATAGAGAATAGCTGATAGTGACCTTTGCTTGAGGGGTGATATTAGGTAACTCAAGTTGTTAGCGAATTGTTATCTGGCTGATTGTCTGAATTGTCTGATCTGTAACATATTTTCATCACAATCAGTCACCATAAATCTTATCGTACACACTTTGATTTAAAATCTATTCATAGTATGCAGTACTAGATTAAGGTTCAATGCATGAATATTGATGTGAAACGTGATGAAAGAATTGTAATCAGCACTCTTAAGGCAGTGTTCTGATTTTGTACAATAAATCATAAAATATAACATAGAGAAAATTATGTAGACATTATCTACTAATCGTTTCTTTGTCGAAGCATTATTTCTTTTACTGTGTGTACCCATAGTTGTAGGTGAAAAGAGTACAACCCAAGGATTTTTCCGTCTTATCTTCTGATCAGCGGTAGATATGGCATTTGAAAATCGTCCTTCCGAGCTGTAAAACTTGAATTCGATATATTTATAAGGATTTTGAATATCATAGTCAATTAATTACAATCCAACGGTTTAGGGAATAAAATCATTGTTGCCATTAGTAGTACAATCCCCTGCATCACTTAGCAGCATGAGATGCTGCAGGTGTTGCTGAACGTAATCTTATCATTCATGCCATCTTGGGTGTCTCTTACCTGTGTGAATATTGTTTGAGTGACCTTTGAACTGTTATATATAGAAGCACGATATGTTGCAGGTGTGCCTGAACGTAATCCTATTATTCATGCCATCTATGATGTCTCTTAATCTGTGTGCATATTGTTCGAGCGACCTTTGAACTGTTTCGTATAGACATGAATTCTTTTAATTCTATGGAAAATAGTCTTTTGCCTCAAAGTTATGTAGTTGCTTTGAGGAAGAATCTAATAAGATGCTGCATTGTGATTTTTTATAGGTTGTAACTTGTAACTGAACTTTAATGGTTTTTATTTCCTGGAAAATTATTTTGGCTCTCGCTTATTCCTCATCTTTTTTATGTCGCAGTTATTCAGATACTTAAACATCCCGCTTTATCTCACTTGATGTCTCGCAAGCGCAATGTCATTGTTGCAACAGGCTTGGTAGCTTTTGCAGCTGCTGGCTTGTCCTTTCCATTTTACATGGCGTAAGTAAAACTTTGTTGCTAGTTACAAATAAAGAGGCAATCTCTCGAAGTATTGCCAAATTGAAAGGTATCATGGTTTCAATTCAGGTCAAGATCATCGGGGGCAACTCCAGTGATTGATTCATCAAAGCCATTACCACCCCAGGCGACTTTTCGTGGGCCTTACATTAACACTGGATCGCGTGATATTGGACCTGATCATCAAACTTACTCTAAGAAATAACATCTTGCTTAATTAGAATTTAGTATGCTAGCAATTGAAGTTGATAAGATTTTTTCTCTCTGTTTCCATGTTCTGTATTTAGTGAAAGGAGATAAATAATGACCGTCTGTTGAAACTGCGTTACTCTCATTATGTTCTTGTCTTCTGGAGAGAACCTATTGCAATGTCGATATTACCTCTTAATCAGCCTGGATTGATGAAGGACATTAGCATGTTTGAGAATGAATCTTTTTGGGATAGTCGAGGAGCGCCCTAGCTGGCCTGGACACTACTGTTATAAAAAAAATGATGTTCTTTTAGGGAAAGAGCGAGCCGTTTATAATATCCTTTCACACATATTGTTGTGTTGTTGCCTTTTCAGTGAATTTTTCGTTCAGAAACAGCTTTCTGTAATATGCTTCTTGCAGGGACAACAGAAAAATGCCTTTGAACTGTTTAACTATATATAATGCATTTGTACTCTTCATTTCAAACATGTCTTAGAAATTATATATCAGCTCCAAAAAATTAACTTCTGGTCCGGTATTATAAATAATTTTCTATTTTCATTTGGCCACTTGATGTTTGCAAAGGAGAATAGCCAATGAAAGTCCGACGATTACAGTCAAAGATGATTGAACTATTTAAATTGGCAGCAATACTCGACATTTGTTGTAGTATTGTTAGGGGTAGTTTGGTTATGCAGGAATTAGTTATGTTGAAATTAGTTATACTGAATTATTTATGTTGTGATTTGTTATCTTAGTAATATTTCTTATTGAATATTTGGTATGTTATATTAATCTTGTGATTGACAATTTTACTGCTTTATCCTCGGGTTATTATTCCACTCTCTAGTCTATAAGTTACCCTGTTATTATTTTTAATGCTAAAATAACTTATCCCAAATTTAGTAACCAAATAAGGAATAAGGCGATACTAAATTTTTATTCTAAGATTATTTTTATTTATCCATCATACCAAACGATCCGTTATAGATTAAAAGCAAAGTGTAATGTCCATGTTGTCTAGGAACATCGTAAGTAGAAGCAGAATGAAAACATGAGATTCTTTTACTCTTTTTGTGAACTTACTAATGTTGAAGTTAATTGCAATTATAAATTAATCAATTTATGAAGGAAACAAACCAAAAAATATTAAAAGTTGATGAGAAATGCATCAACAATTGAAAATTGGAGAGAATGTTCAACACAACCAAAAAATGGAGTCCGAAACCAAAATAATGAATTTTTAGACTCAAAATACCTTTATACAGCTAAAAAAAAAGTTACCTTTGTAACTAAAACACAGTATTATACTGCATTTTAGTTTAACGGAATTTGTAGCCGTTAAAAGGAAAACATAGTATAATACTGCGTTTTAGTTAATAATTCATTTTTTAATGTAAAACGCAGTATAATACTACGTTTTACTAAAGCGCAGTATTATACTGTGTTTTACTTCATTTTTGGGCCCACCAATAAGTGTTCTGCAGATAACTGACATAAATAATTTATTTTTTGTGTAAAACGCAATATAATACTGCGTTTTACTAAAGCACAGTATTATACTGCGTTTTACTTCATTTTTGGGCCCACCAATAAGTGTTCTGCGGATAACTGACATAACAATAATTCAAATACATAAAGCGTGGTATTATACTGCGTTTTACATAAAAAAATTCCGTACCCCAAGCTAGGACTTGCCTTATTTAAAGGCGTTAGGATTTTATGAAAATCCATTCAAAACTTTCCTTCAAACTTCTGTTCATACTTCTCTTCTTGTTATCAAGCATTTTTTTATAATGTCTGAAGAGCCAAAAATAAAGGTTTCATTATATTGGGGGAGGGGAGTGAGGTTGTAATGGAGAATAACTCTGTGAGGCATAGTTCACCTCCACAGTGTCATGTTAAATTACCGCTTACAATGGAGTATGATAAATTGGTATCGTTGTTATGTAAAAAAATGAGTGTGAGGAAACGTTCGGTGAACCTTAAAGTAACCGGTAGATTTCTGTATTCTGTGACTCCGCAGGAGTTTGCTTATTATTTTGAGTTTAACATCGAAGATGATGAAACTCTTAGAGTTTTTTTACAGATTCCGAATGAATACAGGAAATTTATTGTAATAAAATTATTGAAAATGTACGTCAAGGTTGAAGACGTTCCCAATAATGAGGGTGTGCATAGTAGGGATAACCCCCAGTCATCGGGTGGTTATTCTGGAGCAGTTTTTGCCAGACAGATTCCTGATGAAAGAGCTTGCCTTGATTTAAACTTGTCACCACCGGCGAATGAGCAGCGAGAAAATAATTTTTTGACTTTATTTAATCCACAAGACGACTGGTAAACTTCAATTTTTCTACGCTTTAGCGATGTTTATTTTATGTTTGAATTAGATTTGTATTAACACTCATATTTTTCATAGGGGGTATTGTCTGTATATGAATTTTACAAATTATGACCCCGCTCCTAGTTGGAATATGCGTAGTCCTGGCGTGTTGGACCACGGTGGTCCATCCGGGAGTCATCACCAACAAGAAAATGTCCATCATGGAACATCAACACGGTACGACTTGTAAGTAAAATGATATAGCTATATGTAAAGTATTTATCTAATTGAGTGGCTTATCATTTTGTTCTTTTTGTGCAGTGAACCCGAGCAACTTGATGTTCCTGACCTCACACAGTTGCCCATAGACGACGTATTGACTCGTGATTTGGTAGATGCGCAGAATCAGGAAGATGATAGTGATTATGACAACAATGCTGATGAGTCTGGAGATGACACACCCTTCCCTAGTGAGAATGATGATGATGAGGAAATGAATGTCGAACCTGAGCTGACGAGGGAGCATGCTCCTCCACCTCCCGCTAGACCAAGAGTGTACGAGCCCCACGTGCCATTTCATGAGCGAAATATTCCCTTCCTTAATAATTTGCCAAGTATGCCGGACATGGATGCCCTCACAAGGGATGCTGACAAATTTTGGTCAGCAATGTGGGATGAGTCTAGACCAGCGGTGCTGGCAAAGGACATGTATTTCCCTGATAAAGCTCGCATAATCAGGGCTGTAAAAATCTACAACGTAAGAGAGTGCCGTGAGATGATGGTAAGGGAGTCAACTACGGAGGTATACAAGGATGTATGCCGTAGAGACTTTATGGGTTGTCACTGGATGTTGCATGCCATCAAGAAGAAATCAGGGTTGTGGAAAGTGGGTAAAATATTAGCACCCACAGATGTGAAATGTACACATTCAATGAGAATTACTTCAACCTGGATGTAAACTTGATTTCTCTTGTCTTGATTCCATACTTGGAAGTGTCCATTAGGTTCAAGATTAAAGAGTATATTACAGCCGTCCACCGGGAGTATGGGTGTACTATAACCAAAAGAAAGGCATATCTGGGGCACAAACGTGCCTTTGAAATTATTTATGGCGACTGGGATAAGTCATTTTCATCTCTGCCCAGGCACATGGCCGCACTACAACATTTTAACCCTAGGACTGTTGTTGAATAGAGGCGTGAGCGGAGTCCGGACAGACCCGAATATATTTTCAACTATGTGTTCTGGTAATTTAAACCAGCAATTGATGGTTTTATGCATTGTCGTCCTGTAATTTCCATAGACGGTACTCATGTCTATGGAAAGTATGATATTAAGCTTTTGATTGCAGTTGCAGTAGATGCCAACGGACAAATATTTCCACTATCTTTTGCCATTTGTGCCAATGAAATCAAAGAGACGTGGACGCTTTTTTTGAATCACTTGAAGCAGCACGTTGTCAAACAGCGTTCCGGTATTTGTCTAATATCTGATCGACATGGTGGTATTTTAAGTTTTGTACGGCATTTGCCTGAATGACAGGAACCTTATGCATACCACCGTTACTGTGTGAGGCACCTGAAGGCCAATTTCCAGAAGAAATATCATGACAAGGCCTTGCATGATTTAGTGTGGATGGCTGCAACTAAGCACCAATAGTGCAAATTCACGAGGCGCATGGAAGCGATCCGTTAATTAGATCCACGAGCCTATACTTGGTTGATGGGACATGAGCTTCACATGTGGACAATGCATGTCGATGGTGGCAAATGATAGGGAGCCCTGACTACAAATGTGTCAGAGTCATTCAACGACTTGTTGAAGTTTGCACGTGGATTGCCTGTCGCTGCCATGGTCCGGATGACATTCAAATAGATTGCGGAGAGGTTTGTTGAAAGGTGTAGAGCTGCATTGGTATTGATGAACAGGGGTGTTCAATTTATGCCAATGCCGATGAGAAGATTTGAGAAGTACAGGAGGCGAGCACATTGGCATTCATTTTTACAGTACGATCACGACTGGGGTATTTTTGAAGTTCGCACCGCTATTCGCGGACATCGGGAGAATAATCTACGGATGGTGAATGAAGCCAGCCGGTTGTGTTCATGTGGAAAATGTACCATCTATCACATGTCGTGCACACATGCCTTGAAGTGCTTTCAACAAGTTGGTTTAGGGGCAACCAACTATATTGATAGGCAATACAGTGTTGCTGCATACGTAGACACATATAGTGGGCAGTTGCAGCCATGGGTGCTGAGCATTATTGGCCATCAGAACCTTTTAAAATGGTGTGTAACAAGGACTATTTGCGCAAGCTGCAAGTGCAAAAGAGAACGCGTATACGGAACCAAATGGATGTTGGTGACACTGTTTATGCACGTAAATGTGGCATATGCTCGCAAACAGGACACGACCGTTGTAAATGTCCTTCAGCTGGTGTGGGTAGCGGTAGTAATCCAGCTCCTGGTGCAAGTTCATCGAATGTACCAAACTATCAAGGATACACCTAGTCTTTTGTTTTCGTAATGTTTTTTGTAATAAATGTTTGTACTTGTGTATGTTGCAATATCTATCAAATAAAATTATGTTCCACAATCTTGTTACATCTTATTTTTTAACATGGCCTTTTGAATTGGGATGATGATATGGTAGTTCAAACATTCAACTTATTGGTGTTAGTAAAGAAGACCAATTTGAAGATTGAAATTTCATAACATAATATTCGAAGAGATAAAAGCACAACAACCATAACTAAAGCAACATATATGAATTTTTTTAAAAAAAAACCTATAAAATCAAGACATCCTTTATTATCCTTCTTGAAAATTTGCTTCTTAAAATAGCCGTTGTCTTAAAAATGGAATCGAAGAAAATAACTAAAGAAACGTACAAGAAAATAAAGGATAATAACCAATAGGAAAAATTTAATATGTATAGCGCGATACAATACTACGTTTTGTGTGTTGTCTTGTCGGTCTGAAAAAAGCTAAACCAACTGCGCAAAAGCTATTTCGTCTCAGAAAAATTTAATATGTATAGCGCGGTACAATTCTACGTTTTGTGTGTTGTCTTATCGGTCTGAAAAAAGCTGAACCGACTGCGCAAAAGCTGTTTCGTCTCAAAAAAATTTAATATGTATAGCGCGGTACAATACTACGTTTT